TTTTTTTTTTTTTTTTTTAAGTTAGGATCTCCCTCCATTGCTCAAATTGGTCTCAAACTCCTGGGCTTAGGTGCTCAAGTGATTTCTCACCTTGGCCACCTAAAGTGTTGAGATTACAGGTGTGAACCACCGTGCCTGGCCAGCAGCATATTGTTTAATTTACATGTGTTTGTATAGTTTCCAAAATTCCTCTTGTTATTGATTTCTAGTTTTATTCCATTGTGGTCAGAGAATATACTTGATATAATTTCATTTAAAAAAATTTTTAAAGACCTGTTTTGTGGCCCAACATATTGGTCTATCCTTGAGAATGATCCACGTGCTGGAGAGAAGAATATATATTCTGTGGCTTTTGGATGAAACTGTCTGTAAATATTAGGTCCATTTGGTCTGTAGTGCTCAGTAGTTTATTCTTTGTGATGCTTTTGTGAGAATTGTTCTCCTAATTTCATTTTTTGTAATTCATTGCTAATGCATGGAATATGATTGATTTCTGTAGGTTGATTTTTTTTTTTTAATCCAGTGACCTTTCTGAACTCATTTTGTTCTAATTGTGTGTGTGTGTGTCTGTCTGTCTATGAATTCCTTAGGCTTTACTATATGCAGGACCATGTCATCTGCAAATAAGTTTCTTTTCCAATTTAGATGTCTTTTACCTACTTATTCTGCTTACCTGATTTCCACGAGTGGAAGCTCCAATACTGTGTTGAACAGAAGTAGTAAAAGTGGACCTTTTTGAATTGTTCTTGATGTAATGGAGAAGCATTCGATCTATTACCCTTAAGTTTGATGTTAGTTGTGGATTCCCTTTATCAGATTAAGAAAGTTCCTTTCTGTTCCTAGTTTGTTGAGTGTTTTCTATCATGAAAAGGTGTTGAATTTTCTCAAATGCCTTTTCTGCTTCTATTGAGGTGATCATGTGGTTTTTATCCTTTATTCTGTTAATGTAGTGTATTAATACATTTTTGGATGTTAAACTGATTTTACATTCCTGTGATAAATCCCTCTTGGTCATGGTGTAAAATCCTCTCTATATGTTGCTGCATTCAGTTTATTAGTATTTTGTTCAGGGTTTTGCATTAATATTTTTAAGGGATATTGGTTTGCAATTTCTTACGATATTTGGTTTTCGTAAAAGGCAGAATACTTTTTCTTTCTGAAGAGAAACCAGAGCACTGGTTGTAGTATCAAACTAATATTGGCCTCACAGAATTAGTTGGGAAGTGATTCTTAGTCTTCTGTTTTTTGGAAGAGTTTATGAAGAATTAGTTTTTTTTTTTTTTAAACATCTGGTAGCATTTGTGAATAAAGCCTCTCAGCCTGGGCTTTTTTTTTTTTTTAATGTGGGAAGTTTTCAGTCACTTCATGTGTTATAGGTTTATTAAGTTTTTCTTGTCGAATCAGTTTCAGAACTTTGTGTTTTTCTAATAATTTGTTCATTCCATCTAGATTTTCTAATTTGTTGCCATACAATTGTTCATAGTGTTCTTTTATAAGTCCTTTTATTTCTGCAATGTTGGTAGTCATGTCCCTTCTTCATGTAAGTTTTTTTTTTTGGAGACAGGATCCCACTTTGTCACCCAGGATGGAGTGCAGTGGCACAATCTTGGCTCTTTGTAGCCTTGACCTTCTGAGCTCAAGTGATCCTCCCACCTCAGCCTGTTAGTAGCTGGGACTACAGGTGCACACTCAGCTAATTTTTTTGTATATTTTTTTGTGTGTGTGTCTAGATTCCATCTAAATCTAGATGGAATGAGTCACCATGCCTGGCCCTTATAATTTTTAAGAATAAAAACTTACTGTTACCATTAAAGATGCTGGGTGTGGTGGCTCACGCCTGTAATCCCAGCACTTTGGGAGGCTGAAGTGAGTGGACCACCTGAGGTCAGGAGTTCCAGACCAGCCTGGCCAACATGGTAAAACCCCGTTTCTACGGAAAATATAAAAATTAGCTGGGCATGGTGGTGGGCACCTGTAATCTCAGCTACTTGGGAGGCTGAGGCAGGAGAATCGTTTGAACCTGGGACACAGAAGTTGCAGTGAGCTGAGATCCTGCCATTGCACTCCAGCCTGGGTGACAAGACTGATACTAAAAAAAAGATGCTTTGAGGAAAAAAAAAAAAATTGTAGGGCTGGACTCAGTGGCTTATGCCTGTAATCCTAGCACTTTGAGAGGCTGAGGTTGGCAGATTACTTGAGCCCAGGAGTTTGAGACCAGTCTGGGCAATGTGGTAAAACGCTGTCTCTACTAAAAATACCAAAAATTAGCTGAGTGTGGTGGCACATGCCTGTAGTCCCAGCTTCTAGGGAGGCTGAGGTGGGAGAATCACTTGAGCTTGGAAGTCGAGGCTGCAGGGAGTCATGAATGGGCCACTTCACTACAGCCTGGGCAATGGGAGTGAGACCCTGTCTGAAATAAATAAATAAATAAATAAATAGAAATTTAAAAAATAGAAACAAATTTTTTGAAGAGACAGAGTCTTGCCCTGTTGCCCAGGTTGGAGTGCAGTGGCACAGTCACAGCTCACTGCAGCCTTGAACTCCTGGGCTCAAGTGGTCTTCTTGCCTCAGCCTTTGAAGTAGCTTGGATTATAGACATGAGCCCCTGTGCATGGCCACATTTTAAAAAATAATTCAGTACAATGGGCCTGACATAAGTGAAAAAGGCAAGGTATAAAAGTCTAGTTTCAGTTTTTCTCATTGAGTTGTAAGAATTCTTTACATATTCTAAATACAAGATCTTTATCAGCTACGTGATTTGCAAATATTTTTTCTCATTGTGTGGGTTATCTTTTCAATTACTTGATAGAGTCCTTTGATTCCACTTCTGTTTTTAAGGTTAATTATTTATTGATTTAAGCCTTTATACCTTGATTAAAAGTGTCACCTCATGAAATTCGGTTGCCTCTTTGGTATGAAATGACTTGTGAATTCTAATATACCTTCAAATATGCACCTGTGTTTTCCTTTGCCCCTTTCCTTAAGTAAAGAAGAAACTGTACCTCAAACAGATATTTTTCCCATAAATAAATAGAAAATAAGTTGATGAATTTACTGTTTTTCCCCTTGCAACAGAATGTATTAGTAAATACTTTATAATGTATTCCAAAAATAAAAGGGATTGTCTTGTCAATTATATTCCATTACATTCAATAACAGTTGTCTTTCTGATATGCTGATATTTTACATTTTCCTGAAGAAATAAGGAGGCCATTCTGTTTTGGGGGGGGCGGTGGTGGGGAAGTAAAGTCCAAGCAACTTATGCTTCTCTCCCTTCTGGGATTGAGAATGTGGTAGTGATGAGCTGCTTATGACCCAGATGCACATAGAGACTGTGGTAACAGAAGTGGAAATTGAGGCTACATTGCACTTTTAGGGAAAATTTGTTTTTATGCCATTTTCTTAAGACAACTTTTCTTGGTGGAGGAAAAAAATAGTCATGAAGAAAGGAAGAATTAGATATGTGAAGAAAAAATAATTTTAAAAAATTAACCTCGTTTGGGTCATACGATAGTTGATGATTTTCCACTGACTTTATCTTTCATCACTGATGATACATTGACCTCTATCAATGCTCCTTACCTTTTCTTTTTTTTTTTTTTTTTTTTGAAGCTTATAGTAGCTGTTGAACAAGAAGAAATTCCCAGACTTCAGGCCCTGTATGAGAGAGGCCTCCAGAATGGTATCCAGGGCCTGAGGCTGATCCAGCAGGAGGATATAAAAAAGAAGGAGCCATATTGTAGGGTAAGTGATTAACTAGCTTCAAAGGGATGTTTTTATTTAGGGCTTAGTCCTGTGACATGGAGGCTGAGGGTGAGTTTATAGGAGGCAGGAATAATGTAAAATCAGTCAGATAATCCTGTCACAGAAGCAGTGAAGTGACAGACACAAGAGGGCATTGCCACAAACTCTGGACACCTGATTTCTTTCTCTGTGAGCAAATACCAGGTGTGAGCAACATGAACAAAGACAGGAGGAGGCCTAAGACCACATGGCATGTTTGGAAAACACTGAGCAGTGAGGTGTGATTGGGAGCATTGGGTATATAGGGAAAGATAAGAGATGAGACAGAAAAGGCAGAGTTAGGCCCACATAAAGGGCTTGGCATTCATGCTAGTAACATTGAAGTTTATCCAGTAGGCATGGGGAGCCATTGAACATTTTTGGAGGAGGGCAGCTGTAGTGTCTGATCTATATCACAGGTGGATAAGGCTGGCATGAGTTTGAAGAGTAGCTTGTAGACTATCTTCCTTAAACTTGCCATAGGGAAAAAAACAGATCTTTATTCATGAAAGAGACAGGAATAGTAATATAACAGTTATTCTGCATGTTAACTTTCACTGATAACCTTTCAGAGACTATTAGTCCAACTTCGCAGTTTCACTGACTGTTCCAATGAATGGCTAATTTTCTCCTGTGGGTAGAAATTTAACTGTCCAATAGCTGGACTTCCGGAACGTGTCTCAGAGAATGTGACCTTGAACTCGCTATCAGGCAATGCTTTTTAACTTGGTTTAGAGAAACACTATGGGAAATAGGCTGGAAAATGTGTAGACTATTAGACCATTTATTTGTTCATCTACATCTCTCAGAGTGGCATGTCTACACTGCAGTGTTTTGTCTTCCCCATTCTACTCCTTGACCCCAATTACTGTCTTTGAATTGTGCTTTGGTTTTATGGCATCAGCCTATGGAGAAGGTCATTGTGTCAATCACTGTGACCTCCATTGTGAGGATGTGATTGAGGACATAAGTTACTCTCTCTGTTACACAACATCTTGCTCTGAGAACCTGCAGGAGACATTTCTCTCAGATCTTAGTTCTGAGAATAATTTTATTCTTCCTGACCACAGTTGGCTTGTTTTTATCTTATGGACATTGAGTGATTTAACTGATTGCATTGCCCTGTGTACTTTGGCTGCGAGGAAGCTCAGAGACACATTTGTGCCCTACTCCTGCCAGATATCTAGGGCCTTAAACATACATTTTTATTTTTGTATACTAACTTCCCTCTTCATTTCATCTTACCTTTCCACCCTCCTTTTCTGTCTACCCTAATTTCTTGGAACCATAACGTACAATGGAAATTATAAATGGATAGCTTAGTGAATTTTCACAAAGTGTAACCAGCACCCAGGACAACAAACAAATGTTACCAACCTCCCAGTACTCCCCTCATGTCCTTCCACTTTGACGTTTCCCCTAAGAGTAAACACTGTCCTGACTTCTTACATCATAGGTAGTTGAATTTTAGGTAAGTAGAATGGTATAATATGTGTTCTTTTGTATCTGAACTTTTTTTTTTTTTTAAGACAGGGTTTTGCTGTGTTGCCCGGGCTGGAATGCAGTGGCACAGCATTATTATAGCTCACGGTAACTTTGAACTCCTGAGCTCAAATAATCCTCCCACTTCAGCCTCCCGAGTAACTGGGACAACAGGTGTGTGCTACCACATCCAGCTAATTGTTTTTTTAAAAAAACTTTTTAATTAAATTTTTTGTTAACCCAGGCTGGTCTTGAATTCCTGGGCTCAAGTGATCTACCCATCTTGGCCTCCCAAAGTGCTAGGATTACAGTTGTCAGCCATCATGCCCAGCTGTGTCTGGGCTTCTTAAGTTCAATATTGTTTATTAAATTCATCCATATTGTTACATATATTTGTAGTTTGTTTGTTGTCCTTGCTGTATACCGCTATGAATGTAGCATGGTTCATTCTACTGTTGATGGGCATTTGGATAGTTTCCAATTTGGGACTCTTCCAAAAATTGCTGCTATGAAAATTCTAGTACATATGTTTTAGTGAGCACACATACACGTTTTTATTGGGTATATACCTATGAAGGAACTTGCTAGTTTGCAGTTTATGGATATGTTTAGCTTTGGCAGGTATTCCAGAGTTTTCCAAAGTGTTTGTCCCAATTTATACTCACATGACCGTTCCAGTGCTCCATATCCTCAACCAACACTTGGTATTGCTTATTGATTTTATTTTAGCCATTCTGGTGGGTATGTAGTAGTATCATATTATGATTTTAATTTATATTTCCCTGTGGATTCACACATTTATGCACCTTTATATGTATTTATTGACCATTTGGATATTTTATTTTGTGAAGTACCTGTTTGAGTCTTTTACCCACTTTTCTATTGGGTTGACTGTCTTTCTTATAATTATTAATTATTCATTTTAGGACATATGTAGTCTGGATATGATTCTTTTGTTGGATATATATATATGCATATACACACACACACACACACAAACTGCATATCACAAATATCTCCTCCTACTCTGTAGCATGTCATTTTATTTTATTTTATTTTTTTGGAGAAACAGGGGGTCACTCTGTCACCCAGGCTGGAGTGCAGTGGTGTGATCACAGCTCACTGCAATCTTGAACTCCTGGGCTCAAGCAATCTTCCTGCCTCAGCCTCCTGAGCAGTTAGGACTACAGGTGTGTGCCACCACACCCAGCTAATTTTGTATTTTTGTATTTTTGCAGAGATGGGGTCTTGCTATGTTGCCTAGGCTGGTCTCAAACTCTAGGGCTCAGGTGATCCTCCTGCCTTGACCTCCCACAGTGCTGGGATTACAGCGTTTCACTTTCCTAATATTGTCTTCAGATTAATAGAAATTCTTAATCTTAATGTTACCAATTTATGCCTATGTTTGTTTTTTATGGTTAGTGTTTTTTGCGTTGTGGTTAAATTTTCTGGATGCATTCAAAGACTTTGTAAGAGAAATAAAATAAAATAGAAAAAAAAAGAAATCTTTGCCTAGCCCAAGGTCTAGAAGATATTCTATGTGTTTCTCTAAAAATTTTATTGTTTTACGTTTCACATTTAGATCTGCAGTCCATTTGGAATTGATTTTTATATATGGTATAAGTTAGGGGTCAAGGTATATTTTTTCCCCAAACGGATACCCAGTTGAGTCAGCATCACTTATCAAAAAACCATTATTTTCCCACTGTGCTGCAGTATTGCCTTTATGATATCAGATATGTGGTGGGTCTATGTCTGGACTCCATTCTGTTCCATTGCCTCTTCTGTGCTACTACCATAATGTTTAATTATAATAGCCATTTTTTTTTAATGGGGTTTCACTCTGTCACCCAGGCTGGAGTGCAGTGATGTGATCACAGCTCACCATGGCCAGCTAATTTTAAAGTGTTTTGTAGAGACAGAGTCTCACCATATTTCCTAGGCTGGTCTCGAACTCCTGGGCTCAAGTGATCCACCTGCCTCAGCCTCCCAAACTGCTAGGAATACAAGCATGAGCTATAGTAGCTTGGCCTATAGTAGCTTTTTTTTTTTTTGAGACGGAGTCTCTCTTTGTCACCCAGGCTGGAGTGCAGTGCCACCATCTCAGCTTACTGCAACCTCCATCTCCTGGGTTCAAGCAATTCTCCTGTCTCAGCCTCTCCAGTAGCTGGGATTACAGGCACCCGCCAACATGCCTGGCTAACTTTTGTATTTTTATTTATTTATTTATTTTGAGACGGAGTTTCACTCTTGTTGCCCAGGATGGAGTGCAATGGCGCAATCTCAGCTCACCGCAACCTCTGCCTCCTGGGTTCAAGTCATTCTCCTGCGTCAGCCTCCCGAGTAGCTGGGATTACAGACATGCACCACCAGGCCCAGCTAATTTTGTATTTTTAGTATAGATGGAGTTTCTCCGTGTTGGTCAGGCTGGTCTTGAACTCCCGACCTCAGATGATCCTCCAGCCTTGGCCTCCCAAAGTTCTGGGATTACAGGCATGAGCGCCTGGCCCTATAGTAGCTTTTTAATGGGCCTGAATATCTGGTAGAGTAAGGCCTTCAGTTTTTTTCGTCAACGTTGTCTTGGCTTTTCTTGGATCTTTACATTTCTACATGAATTTTGGAGTTAATTTGCTAAACTCCACAATATAACCTGTTATGATTTTGATTAAGGTTGCACTGAATCTGTATGTCTATGTGGAGACAATTTACATCTTTGTAGTATGGAGTCTTCCAATCCTTGAACTTCATGTATCCCTCCCTTTGTCTGGATCTGTTTTGATTTATTATATAATGTATTATGATTTTCAGGATATAAGTCTTGCATGGCATGTCTCTTACATTTATGTCTACAAATAATTTGTATTTGATGTTTTCTGATACTCATTAATAGTATTGTTATTTAAAGTTCATTTTTTATTTGTTTGTTGCAGGTATATGTGGAAATATAATTGATTTCTGACCTTGTATTCAACTTTCTAGTTAAATTTACTTATTGGTTCTAAATAATTTGTCTAGAAATTCTTTTGGATTTTTTATACCCAAACATTTTATCTCAAATAATAACTATTTTATTTCTTCTTTTCTAATTCATATACTTGGTTGATCCAATGGTTAATCCTAGTTTGTATAGTTTTATATGTGTTTTTTTATTTTTACAAACTGCTTCATCCTTTCTGCAAAAAGATAAGATAAAAATGTATTTTTTCAAGTTCAGGACAAATAAAAGCTTAAAGGAAAAAAAAATGTATTTTTTCTCTTTATCTCTGGTTGTAAAGTTAAAGTTGGGTCAAAATATGCAAGATTTTCTGAATTCATGTAAAACTCCTAAGACGCTGATAGTACCCAGGAGTCTAAATAATGTTGAATGAGTTCTTCCTGCAGAGAAGGTTATAGCATCTTGGTCTCCAGCAAGCCACTATTCCTTTCCTGGCACCCAGTCAGGATAATCAAACTATTTTGCTTATGGGATACACCAGGTC